AAAAAAAGAAAAGAAAAAAAAAATAAATTAAAAAAAAAAAATAATAAAATAATAAAAGGGGGAGCAAAACGCTGCGTTTTGCTCCACCCCTAATATATATTATTATCATCTTCAACTAAAGTGGGGGAGACGCAAGCGAACTGGAGGCGGCGAAGCTGACCAGCGAAAAAACAGAAGACGCCGAACGGAAATAAGAACACACACACGAGCTGAGCGACGACCTGGAAAAGAACAGAGGAGACACACACACGAGCACGCCGAACGGAGCTGAATACACGGACGCTGAAGGCGAGCTGGGCGCAGCTGGAGAAAGGACCAGAGAACACGCAGACGCAGACCAGCGAAACAGAGACGTGAACCATTCAGCGTGAACAGTGTTCTTCCATGGAATCCTGTAGCAAAATACTGATTGCAGCAATTTGATGGCAAACCGTGGCTAATTCCTAATTCTCTAATTCAACAATAATGGCAGGAGCTTGGATCATCAAAGGGGAGTTTTAGTTGCTTTAATTTCCTACTCAATAATTGTTTAACAATTCCTAGGTCTTAGGATAGTTTTTCTATTGTTGGGATAATTGTATTGCTTAATCTGATTATATTTGGGGATTATTGTGACTGATTATTGCTTAGTATTTGACATTGGGCTGTTTATAGTTTTGATCTCAATTATAATGTTGTGGTTATGACATTTGTATTGATTTTGGAATTAATATATTGTGATTTTCTAAGGTGGCTTAGAATTTTGGATCATATAGTCTCTTGCTAGCTTTAATTCTGTTATTTTGGATTTAAGAGTTCTAATTAAGCATTGGTTTTTAGCATCCTTAATCCCATTTTACTATTCTGGTTGCAGTTAGTAAGTTGGGATTTTAGGAAAATATTTTGTGGCAACTCGAGGTGGCTCGGTTGTTGGATCAAAAGCTTAATTATAATTCTTAATTCATTGTTTTTAACTCCCACATCTTTTAGAGTGATGATTGCCTGCGTTGTTGAATTGGAGGATTGATTTTTATCAGTGTTATCTGTGTCTCATTTTCATTTCTTTAATCTCCATTCATTTTAATCACTTTTATATAAAAACAAAAAAAAGTATTTTAATTTCAATTTGATTCGTAGTATTTAATTAACAGCTTTTCAAAATCAAAAATCTCTTTTTATAGTTTAGGTTACTTGCATTCATTTACTAGGGTTTAATTTCGTTTTCGGCTCCTCAAAGTGAAACGACCCGAGTTGTGCACTATATTGCATTAATTCGGTTAATTTTTGGAGTAACCCCAAAGCGACAATTAAGGGAAGTTCAACTTCAACCTCTAACAACTATATAACATTAACTTTAACACTATTTAGTTATAATTTAGTTAGTTATAGTTAGAAGTTATATTATCCGATAAAGTTAGTTGTTAACAGACACTGCTAAGGTTGTTAACAGTTCTCCTTAGGTTATTAATACTTACTATTGAGGTTGTAAATAGATTTTCGCATTAAAATGTTGCTATAATTCTATTGGGCTTAGTTAAAATTCTTAATGATATCAAAAAGCTTCCCATTTTAGTGTTAAAGTTGTTGTATTATACTATTTGGTTATAATTTACTCTTATGCGGAGATTATATAATTCTATAAAGTAAGTTGTTAACGGATACTGCTTAGGTTGTTAATGCCTTCTCATTCAGTTGTTAATAGTCACTGTTGAGGTTATAAATGGATCTTCGCATTAAAATATTACTATAATCTTATTGGATCTAGTTAAAATTCTTAATGATATCAAAAAGCTTACCATTTTAGTGTTAAAGTTGTTGTATTATACTATTTGGTTATAATTTACTCTTATGTGGAGATTATATGATTCTATAAAGTAAGTTGTTAACGGATACTGCTAGGGTTATTAACGCCCTCTCATTGGGTTGTTAATAGTCGCTGCTGAGGTTGTAAATCGTAATGACAGAGTAAATGTAAATCTGGAATATGAGGGGCAGTAATGTCATTTTACAAATCGAAAATATTACTCTGAGGTCCCTTGGGACCGGTCAGTGATTTTGACATTTCGTGGGACCTCAGAGTAATAAATTGCCTTCTGTGGGACCTGTACGTAATTTTCCCAAAGATTATTCTACTGGGCTGAAACACATGAACTATAATATTGGGTCACGCCGATACTTGTTTTGGGTCTTATCTAAGATGCATTTATATTGGGCATGAAACTAGACAAAATGTATACTACCTTGTACCAGAAAAAAAAAATATCCTGCTTGTGCTATCAGAGTTGGTATATCATAAGAAATTAGTTCCCTATAATGTGATAAATCAATATTTAAATTTTTACTAGAAGAGGTGTGTATATTTAGTATCTAAAAGTGTTTCGAATATGATTGTTTCTAGTAAAAAAATACGTGTGCAAAAAAAAACACTATGCTAGTATTAATTTTGGAGATTAATGAAAAATTCAGTATTATTGGCAAAAGCAAAATAAACTCGTTTCCATTGTGAGATAGGAAGTCATGTGAACTTCGTTTTTGTTTTCTTTTATGAAAAAAAATATATTCTGAATTATCTTGATGATCAATGAGGGAGAGGAAGGAAAATTTTAATGAGCTCTATATAAAAAATAAAAAAAGTGGGGTTTTAAAATTTTAATAAAGAGAAGAAGTAATATAAAAGAATAATAAAAATTAATTAAAAGTTTGTAACCCTATTTTTCCAATTTTTTAAGTTAAGCTCATTAAAATTTTTCTTTTCCTCTCCTCCGCTCATCTTTCCTCGCACCAAACAGACCCTAGATTAGTCTCCCCACCTCACTATCATATTTATTTTCTTAAAAAAAAAATAAAGGTATTTATCTCAACATTATGAGATTACGATCTAATAATCAATATTCCTCCGGTTCTAAATATAAAACCCTTATACATATTAGTATAAGAGTGTTATATTTAGGACCGAAAGCATATTTCTTAGTTGAGGCTCTATTGAGGGATCACAGTCTATTGTTCTAAGGCTTAAAAAAATTATGTATTTTCTTCGCATACGCCCACACATCATAGTTTAAGCACAGGCCAATCCCATCAAATTTTCTAACCCTCTCATAACGTCATTTCGAACTCAAAAAGTTATTCGCAAATAAACATTCACTTCAAAGTCTTTTTAACATAAAAGACATGGTAATGCATTTTCACTGGTTTGAATTTTTTTCTTCTTCTGCTAATCCTTTTATTGTCTTGTTGTTTTGTTGACAAGCTTTTTGATACGTCTTTATTAGTTTGGTTTTTCTTCTCCTCTCCCTCTCATGATCTTGTTTTAATTTGCCTTTTTTTTTCACGGATGAAACTAAAATTAATATATTTTGAAATTTTTTAGGATTTGTTTATGATGTGTTCTCGCCCAACATGAATAAAGAAATAGGTATATTTTATCATTTTTTTACTAAGAAAAACAATTATTGAATTTAAACTTATGATAAGATAAACAAATAGAAAAAAGATGGGGAACTTAATCTTTTGGTCCAGCAACTTTTAACTAGATTATGACTCAGTCCCTCAACTTCTAACTCAGTTGAAATTCAATCCCTAATTTTTTCCTATTTAATAAATTAATCCATGTCATATACAAACACCTTGAATCATTACCTCATCACCCTATACGTGTTGACATGACTTCTAAATAAGCTAAGCATTCATTAGTCGTGACCCTCCCCTGTTTCCTACTCCTCATTTTCTTTCTTTTTCTCAGAGTCAAATGTATTATTTACAGTATATATGCAGTGAAAAATTACACACCCGCCCAAATATATCAAAATTAAAATGTGGATGGGGGAGTTGTTATTAAATTTATGAATGGAGAGGCTATACAGATAGTAGATGCAGTAGGTTTAACATGACATGGAGAAAGATTTACAATAAGATATTATTATTCTTCACAATATCTAAGTATCACGCCAAGAACCAATATAATAACGATGAAAATCAGGGGAAAAGCGAAGCTGAAGCTCATGGAATGGAACTGAAGGAACAAGCTAAGCTGTGCTAATGCAATTCCATCTTTTTATTGGTGAGGACCGAAAGAAGAAAAGAAAAATCTGTTCCTTCAATTCAAGCGCAACTCCCCCCACTTTGATTTTGATTGATTTGTGTGGGTGTGTGTGTAATTTTACACTGCATATATACTGTAAATTACACCTTGGCCTCATGAATGATTCGCAAAAGAAGGAAAATGATAACGAAACAAGGGAGGGTCGCGGCTTATGAATGCATAGCTTATTTGGAAGACATGTCAGCACGTATAGGGTAATTGGGTGATGATTCAAGGTAAGTTGTATATGATATGGATTAATTTATTAAATAAGAAAAAAATCAGGGATTGAGTTTCAACCTAGTTAGAAGTTGAGGGACCGAGTCATACCAAGTCAAACTTGAGAGACTGAGTCATAACTAAGTTAAAAGTTGAGGGACCAAAAGATTAATTTTCCCAAAAAAGATTAATGTGATCTCCCAAAATTAAATATGCTAAAATATTAAGAAAAAAGCAAAATAACTCAAGAAGGAAATATTTCAGTAAAAAAAAAAACAAAAGCAAGAAAGAAAGAGGGAATCTGACATAACTACTATGTACGGTTTCAAACCCTTCTCTTCCTCCTCTTTGGCGGATCATTCACTAGACTTACAACCCATTGAGGTTTGCCTGTGAACATCATAACCTGAAACAACATTGCTCCAAATGCTGCTCCACATACATATCCCAACACCACAGGTTTCCATCCAAATTCAAATCCATCTCCAGAACTTGGAAGTGGTTCTTGTCTTTCCTCATGGGCATTGCATGGAATCATGAGTTGAAAACCATGCAAGTCTTTGTTTCCTTTAAAAGAGTCACTTGAGAAAGTCTCAAATTGTTGGCCCCTAGCAATGCAACCTTCAAGTTGATTCTTTGAAAGGTTCAAAACTTTGAGAAAATTGAGATTAGTCAACTCAGTTGGAATTCTCCCAGTAAAGTTATTTGATCACAAATCCAATCATTCCAACTTCCTCAAATTTCCTATTGAGATAGGAATTGCACCGTTGAGCCCATTATGTGAGAAACTGAGCCCCTTCAACATGTGAAACTCTCCAATAACTTGAGGAATCTCTCCCTCAAACATGTTATCGGATAAACCAATGCTTGTAAAAACAGTCAATATCTTTTGTAGATGAATTTCAGATCCTTTCAAGGTCACCCCAATGGAGTCCTCATAAAAGCCACCACCATAGCTAGATTTTAAGTACTGCAAGCGAGTTTTTCCATCCAATCTTCTCATAGCTTTGAAAGATTTGAAGAATGATGCACGTAAAGAACCTTTCAAATTGTTGCCGGACAGGTCAAGTACTCTTAACATATGAAAGACATGGCTTCTACATGGGATAAAACGGTGCAATTTATTCCCTCTAAGAACAAGTACCTGCAATTCTTCAAGAGCATCTAGCCAATGGGGATATACATCTTCTATGTTGTTGTTGCCAAGATCCAAGACTCTTAGCCTTATGCAATTGACCAAAGATCGAGGCAATGACCCTTCTAGAAAGTCGCCATTCAGATTTAGGGTTCTTAAATTGTTCCCCACTTCAAATGATTCAAGTACAATGCCAGAGAAACTATTACTTTGTATATCCAGCACAAAAAGAGTAAGGTTAGAGCTGACAATACAGTGTGGAATGGTGCCGGTGAAGTTATTGTGGGACAAGTTAAGAATATCAAGTGTGCTAGCATTGCAAATAGAAGGAAGGAGCTCTCCTCGAATGGAGTTGGAACTTAAGTTAAGAACACGCATGTTTTTCCATGACAAGTTGTGCCACAACACATTTTCTGCAAGACAAATGTGCGAAAAGTTCAGGAGTGTAAGGTTTTGAAGCTTAAAAATTGACCTTGGAATTGGGCTGTGCAACTTATTGTTAGACACATCAAGCACTTCTAGTGAATAAGCAGATATTTCACTGATATGACCAGTGAATTGGTTAGAAGATAAAATCAAATTACACAAAGATGGTAGAGTAAAAATCGAAGAAGGAATTTTTCCGTAAAAGCCATTGTTTGACAAATCTAAAGTCTAGAGATCTTTAAGATTTGAAACTGAATATGGAAATTGGCCACTAAAATTATTTGAAGACAAAATAAGAAATGCGAGATCTTGAAGATTGGAAAGTGATGATGAGATTTGACCAGAAAAATTATTGTTTAAGAGGTCCAAAAAATGAAGTTGTGTAAGATTCTATAAGGATGGTGGAATTTCTCCAAAGAATTGGCATGATGAGAGATCCAAGAAATTTAATGATTTCATATGGCTAATGGAATGCGGCAACTTTCTTGTGACCCTCATGATTGCAAGATCCAAAAATCCAATAGAACTGATCCAATTAGACTTTGGAAGATAGACTGTGAGATTTGGGTTATCATACAAATATATCTTGTGAAGTTAGGGAAATGAAAATATATTTTCATCCAAATTTCCTTGTAATCCAGCTCTACCAAGCTCAAGAGAGACCAAAGATGAGGAACAATTCTTAAATAGATGACTCAAGGGAATCGATGACCTATCCACGCCACATAGCGAAAGATCCTTTATATGAGTGGTATTTCTTGTGAGTATCTCCCAAGTCTTTTCCTTAAGAACAAGAGAATTCAAATCCTCAACGAGATGAAGTGAAACCAATTTGTGAAGATGAGAAATCTGAGATGGAACTTCACTACTAAAATTACAACTACGCAAGGATAGGTGCGTTAAACTTAGAAGTTGGGAAATATTAGGTGGTATTTGAGACCCTTGGAAGTCATTGAAACTAAGATCAGGCGTTTGAAGATGGGAAAGCTGGAAGAGAGAATTGCTGGGAAGGAGTTTACTGTGAAGCCAACTACAATTAAGATTGAGGTCAATCACATGACCTAATGGATTGCAAGTGACCCCATCCTATAAGCAACAATTGGTATCATTTTTCCAAGTCGATATGTTGGAGTATGATATGCTTTCATAAGCATCACAAATCACAGAAGCTAAAGAAGGAGGATGGGGTTTTTGAATGGAAAATGAGTTTTGGAGGTCTAGCAAGGCTAAGCTTTGGTCAAGATGACATGTTGGGAAAGCAAAGGAATAAGAAAGAGAGAGAAAGAGAAACAGTTGGAGACAAAGAAGGGAACACAATGATAGACTCCTCATTTGTGACTGCAAATTCCCCTTCGCTTGCTACAACAAGTGAAGAGAAATAGCTCTATTTATAAATAAATGGAAAATCTGGGTGATAAGAAAAAACTAAAGGGAAAATCTTACATCTGTATATGTGCAAGCAATGGATAAAAATGCCTTTTATTGGTTTCATTGTTTCTTCTCCTAGTTACTTTCAGTGTCTTGTTGTTTCGATTTTCTAATACAGGTTAAAAAATTGGTAATAATTATCTATAAAATATAGCTCAAGGGAGAATGAGTACATTTAATTTGTATATGTGCAAACCAACTAAAGAGGAAAATGCTAAAACTGAAACTTAATTATCATTGGAAATGGCCCTGCTCTATCAAATATGGCAAATACTATTGGGCTTGAATTTTTCAGTAGACACCGGCAAAATGAATCACATTGGAGCACATGTGTGGAATGTGAGTGGTATAAAATAAAGGGTCATGCAAACCAACATTTTCAGTGTGGATTTTGTGGTGATTCTCTTCTGACACTCTCCCCTTGTATTTCCCCTTCCCTCTGATTCTCTGCTATCCTCCTAGAGATTTCCTTCCTTTCTGCACTTTCTGTATTTCTGTGATTGGACGTTTATATATTTCTGGATATTTCCTGTTGCTTTCATCATATATATAAAAATAATATTCAGATTTTAGTGCAAATTTACTGTGTTGATTGTTATTTGTTTTGAGATCAGAATAGATACAAATGTACCTCTTGAGGGTAAGGAACTGAAAATATATTTTCATCTAAATTTCCTTGTAATCCAGCTTTACTAAGCTCAAGAGAGACCAATGAAGAGGAAAGATTCTTTAGTAGATGACTGAAGGGTATCGATGACATATCCACACCTCCCAACCAAAGATCCTTTATATGAGTGACATTTCTTTTGAGTCTTTTCCAAGTCTTTTCTTTAAGAATGAGATGATTCGAATACTCAAGGAGATAAAGTGAAACCAATTTCTGAAGATGATGGAACTTCACCACTAAAATTACAGTAATGCAAGGAGAGGTGTGTTAAACTTACAGGTTGGGAAAAATTAGATGGTATTTGAGACCCCTGAAAGTCATGGAAACCAAGGTCAAGTCTTTGATGATGGGTAAGCTGGAAGAGAGAACTGTTGGGAAGGAGTTTACCATGAAGTCCCTTACAATAAAGATCAAGGCCAATGACGTGACCCAATGGATTGCATGTGACCCCATCCCATAAGCAGCAATTCGTACCATTTTTCCAAGTTGATCTCTTGAAGTATGAATGATTTCATAAGAATCACAAAGCACAGAAGCTAAAGAAGAAGGATGGGTTTTTGAATGGAAAATGAGTTTTGGAAGTCTAGCAAGCCTAAGCTTTGGTCAGGACGATATGTTGGGAAAGCAAAGGAATAAGAAAGAGAGAGAAAGAGAAATAGTTGGAGGCAGAGAAGGGAACACAACAATAGACTCGTCATTTGTGACTTCTAAATCCTCTTTGCTTGCTGCAACAAGTGAAGAGAAATAGCTCTATTTATAAATGAATGGAAAATCTGGGCGACAAGAAAAAACTAAAAGGAAAATCTTACATCTGTGCCTGTTTGTGCAAACAATGTATAAAAAATCCCTCTTATTGGTTTGCTTGTTTCTTCTTCTAATTTCTTTCGGTGTCTTGTTGTTTCGATTTTCTAATACAGATTAAAAATTGGGAATAATTATCTACAAGATATAACTCAAGGGAGAATGAGTACATTTGTATCTGTGCAAGCCAACTAAAGAGGAGAATGCTAAAACTGAAGCTTAATTATCATTAAATTTTATGGCATAAAAATTATATACTCGACCTAAATAAATTACTAAACCATAGGGGTCAATCAACACGAATTTTCCCCTATCCTTCTAACCTCTAATTTCCAAGAAGTTCCCATTATTACGAAATAATTATTTTCCACGCACCAAGACCACAGCGTTAGAAAGCAGAATGTGAACCAAACATTAATGTACGGTTCACGAGTCTATTCACATACTTAGACTTGCAAAGTCATTATACCAAAAAAAAAAAAAAAAAGACTTGCTTTCTCTTTTCCTTATCCTTTCACTGTCAAGTAGTTGTTTTCAAAGTTTCCAATATTCCCATACGCGTAGTTTGCCAACAATTGTTAAGCATGCCATGTACATGCGAAATTTTTTTTTTTTTCTGTAACCTAATATTACAAATTTGAGTATTTCAAATCATATCAATGTACAAGCATTGATTACATTTTAATATGTATTAACAACTTTGAAATGGAAATTAACAAGTTGCAATTTCAACCTAGATAATAATTATTATGCGTTTCTTAGTCGAAATATATGTACGGGCTCTAAATTGTTTTGTGTCATCTTTATACTAACACCAGATGATACGATTTTATTATCAAAATATGATTTATTTTTGTGCTAAAAATCCTGCCCTTAAGTAATTTTTTTACCCGCATATGCCAATTAAAGTGCTTAATAAATATCACACATAGATTAAAACTAATTGGAATGGCGCATAATGATCTTTCCGTGGGATCAAACACTTATGATCATTGCCTTGCATATAAATCATTTTAATGTGTTGTTTGAAGTTAACTGAAATTTATAAAAGTAAAGTATAATGTAAACAAAGACTGAGGTTGAACTAAAAAAATACATAATAAAAGACATAATAATTATTATTTAAGCTAAAATTGTGATCTGTTAATTTTTATTCCAAATTTGTTAATAAAATATTCCTAGCATAATGGTCATAATTTTTGGCCAAAACCATCAACGGGGTCGGATCAAATCCCACCACCTTTTTTTTTTCTTAAAAAAAAATCCCTCTCAATGAGAAAAAATCCCATCGGAAGTCACCTCACCGATGGCTCCCGCACCAGCGGGTTTCCGACAAGAGGTTAGTTTTTTTTTTTAATTTTTTAATAAAGAACTTTTCTGTAATTTTATCTTAATATCAAAATGACAACTTATATCTCCCTTCTATTTGGGGATTATGAAGTACTATCTTTCAAATTTGGCTCTCATATTTTCCCCTTCTGTTTTTTTTTTTTTGGGAACAAATTGAAGACAGAAAGCTTGAGGCACCACGACATCAATCGCGTTACTGGATGGGGTCCAAAGAAAGACCTGTTTCTGTCCATCCGAGTCAGAATGCCCCTCTTATGGGGCAAGTATGTTTGTAAAAAACTCAACAAAGACTTTGACTGCCGTGCTCCTTTTTTCTTTTTTCTTTTTTTTATATCTAAAGATATTTTGTACAAGAATTATATCTAAAGTTATTATTCCCTTCGCTCATTATTATGAACACTTAATAATTAATAACTTTACATAAATAAATAAAATTAACTAGACTTAGTTATTTATTATAAAATATAAAAATTATCATCAATACAAGTCATTAATTAAAGAAATTTGGTTTTTTAGTTGGAAAGTAATTAGTAGTTAGTCGGGAAGTTGATTCTTGGAAAGATTCAAGACCCGAGAAAATTGATATTAGTCAACTGTTCAGGAATTTTCATAGTAGAGTTGTTTGATGATGAATCCAACTATTCCAAATTCATCAAATTTTTGATTGAGCTAGGAATTGTACCGGTGAGCCCGTTGTGTGAAAGAT